ATTTGGGTTCTCTCATAACAAACGATAATGACACATCTGAAGAAGTTAAACGGAGGGTACTGCTAGCAAACAAATGTTATTTTGGACTAAGCAAGCAGCTAAAAAACAGAAATTTAAGCCAGAAAACCAAACTAATAATATATCGAACACTCATCCTACCAGTGCTGACATATGGGTCAGAAACATGGATCATCTCCAAAACAGACGCAAATCTGCTGCTCGTCTTCGAAAGGAAGATACTAAGAAGAATAATGGGCGCATTTTGTGAGAATGGTATTTGGAGAAGGCGATATAATTTCGAATTGTACGAGAAGTATAAAAAAATAGTAAATGGTAGAGATGTAATATCCTTCATAAAAATAGGTAGGCTTAGATGGGCTGGACATGTGTCAAGAGCAAATGAAAATTACCCACCCAGACGAACTCTATTATCGGTCCCAGTGGGAAATAGGAGTAGAGGCAGACCACGACTGAGATGGAGGGACGGTGTGGACGAGGACGCAAGGAAAATCGGCGCGGAAAATTGGCAACGGTTGGCGATGAACAGAAACGACTGGCGAAATAGACTGGGGAAGGTCAAGGCTCAACTAGAGCTGTAGCACCACTGGTGATGATGATGAACTGCTGCTTTATAGATCCTTGTTTTTGTATCTTGTCTTTGGTGTTTATTCTTCCAGATTGTGTGATTAAGAGATGTTGTCATACTTCTTTAACATATCCGTAACTAGTTATATCTATTCCCAGATATCTAAATCTTGCTTCCTGCTTTATTATTTTCCCATCTAATTCGATTCTACATCGTAGTGGGTATTTAAATGTTGTCATACATTTGTTTTTTTCTACTGATATTATGTTAATATATTTCTTGGCTGTTGTATTGAATATGTGTGTTAATCTTTGGAGCTCCTCTTCTGTCATTACGATTAATGCCACGTCGTCTGCATAACATAATATTTAAAGTTCTTTGTTCTGCATTCTATAATCACAACCTTTACGTACTGTTTGTATTTTTTGGTCCATTATTATATAAAAGAGAAGTGGACTTAACGAGTTACTCTGTCTGACTTCACTTTGTACTGGTATACACTGTGTTTTCCATTTATCTTTGCCTGTATTCGATTATGGAAGTAGATGTTTTCAATGGTTTGTATATTAATTGGTATGTTTCTTTTATACAGTAGGTGTAAGACGTCTTCGACTTGGATGTGATCGAAAGATATTATCATGTCTGTAAACCATAAATATTCTGGTTTATTGCATTCGATGGCCTTTTCTGTGATTTGTCCTAGTACAAATACGGTGTCTACGCAGGATCTTCCAGATCTGAATCCTTGTTGTTTATCTGATAAAGTTGTTAGTTTATAGATTTTGTTGGTTAGGACTTTCATGGTAAGCTTCAGTGCGTTGTTCAGTGCATTTATACCAATATAATTGGTGGGTATAGTCTGCAAACTGTCGAAAATACTAATCATTGCTGACAAAAACCAAACGTACCTACGTGTTTACAATTATGTGAATTATTGCTTCCAAGAAGTTCTTACGGTGAGGCGCTTTATGAAGAAACTTTCATGAAGACTAGCATTGACGGAAACTTTTTATCTCTTGAAACCAAACCAAAAAGAGGCAAACAAAATAATACAAACCCCGTTAAAGCATACGAAGAAAGGCTCCCAATCACGGACGTGAAGAAAAAAAACCTCATGTTTAAGAATATTTAAGACTTTTATTTACCATGATTTTACAACAACTTAGGATTATAATTAAGTACTTGAAGTATCTACAGGACGTGAAGTTCCATAATTAATGTATTGTGATTATTTTTAACTTTTATATTTTTTACGTTTCTAATTACATTAATCTTCTACCAATACATACTTTTATAAAAATACTTTTAATAATTTCTTTAAACATAATTTTGTTCCTACAACATAAATTTATAAATAAATGATTTGTAATCAACTTTGTGAGAATATTAAAATTATTTTACTTTTCCTCCTTTTTAATTAAGAGTATGAATGTGTTACAATTAGACCAATATGAACTATCGAAAATGCCACATTCGCAAATTTGAAATATTGCACCAAATAAATGTGTTAAGAGTATACTAATATGAACTGTCGAAAATGCCACAATCGCAATTTTGAAACATTAGACCGAAACAAATCGTTGATTACCACAAAAGCCAAAGTAACGAATTGATACAAAACGATATAAAACGATATTTTAGAAAGAAAATAACCGTAAGCAGTTTAATTTTGTATCAATCTTACAAGGATTAAACATTAAATCTAAAAAAATATAAAAATTATTCCCATCATGAATGTGTTGCTTGTGTGAGTCCATTTCAAATAGGCAAAAGAAATAATAAATAAGACTTACTCACAATCGGTTTAATTTAACTATCTAGACGACCGGTTTCGCTTTCTACAATATGCAAAGCATCTTCAGGTTTGTCGATAGAAAGTTAATTAAATGCTGAAATAATAAAACCCATATTAGGGTGTTGTCTTACAAAGATAAACAAAGATAAATGATATAAATTACAGTAATTATGATAATATTACATGTCTGTGGTTTTCCAAAATGAATAAACTGTTTAAGCAGACAAAGTAAGACCCACAAATTGGTATAAAAATAGCCTATTGCATTGTAATAAATTAGTAAATAAACAAAACATTACTTACATGCCGGTACTCTATTAATTAATGGTTGGAAGAACATAGTTCAAACTATCCTGTATTGCTGAATGGAGAATAAACGCGGAAGTTTTTTGAGGAGATAGATGTTATCTAATGAAGTAGAAAATGTGTGTAATGTGATTGTTTGTTAAATGAGAGTGATGTTCTACATTATTTAATTTTTTAAAAACTATTTAGATTTATTCAAGAGATATATTTATGAAATGTGTGTTATTTATTGAGATTTTATGAAGGTGATAGTTGTATGAGAATGAATGAAATTAGATGTACAATTGTGTGGGTGTGCAAATTTCTTCAACTTGTAATTATCAAATTTCTTTGATAAAGTTCAATTGCCTTACTATTATATGGCAAATGATTGTAAAGTCTAGTATGTAAAATTATTAAAACTAAAACAATTAAGGATACTTACCAGGAGACCAACAGAACACACTTAAAAAGGACTAAAATCTAATAGACAACAAAAAAATTCATTGTCTCCAAGTCAGATATAGTGCTTTTAAGCTCCCTTTTTTTAATTTAATGTCTGTTTCGTCCTTTTTAAGTGTGTTTTTTTTGTCCCTAAGTATTCTTAATTGTTTTAGTTTTAATAATTTTACATAGGTACTAGACTTTACAATCATTTGCCATATAATAGTAAGTCAATTGAACTTTATCAAAGAAATTTAATAATTACAAGTTGAAGAAATTTGCACACCCACACAATTGTACATCTAATTTCATTCATTCTCATACAACTATCACCTTCATAAAATCTCAATAAATAACACACATTTCATAAATATATCTCTTGAATAAATCTTAATAGTTTTTAAAAAATTAAATAATGTAGAACATCACTCTCATTTAACAAACAATCACATTACACACATTTTCTACTTCATTAGATAACATCTATCTCCTCAAAAAACTTCCGCGTTTATTCTCCATTCAGCAATACAGGATAGTTTGAACTATGTTCTTCCAACCATTAATTAATAGAGTACCGGCATGTAAGTAATGTTTTGTTTATTTACTAATTTATTACAATGCAATAGGCTATTTTTATACCAATTTGTGGGTCTTACTTTGTCTGCTTAAACAGTTTATTCATTTTGGAAAACCACAGACATGTAATATTATCATAATTACTGTAATTTATATCATTTATCTTTGTTTATCTTTGTAAGACAACACCCTAATATGGGTTTTATTATTTCAGCATTTAATTAACTTTCTATCGACAAACCTGAAGATGCTTTGCATATTGTAGAAAGCGAAACCGGTCGTCTAGATAGTTAAATTAAACTTATTGTGAGTAAGTCTCATTTAATACTTCTTTTATCTATTAAAAATTATTCCATTTGTCACAGCGTTGATTTAGGATTCTCTAAAAAAGAGTTATCTTCGTCTGAAGATAACATCCTAAACAGTACCACTTTTCACATTTGATAGTTGGCAATGGTAGGGACGACGTATTGTTGTTCTTTTATTATAATTTAGTTCTAATTATGTCCTTAATTCTTTGAACAGTGTCTTGATCTAAGTGTAAGTTGTTAATTTCTGTAATTTTACCATTCTGATTAGGAAGTACAGTAATTTGAGAATGAGATAATAAATAGCTTTTCTCAGCTATGTTCTTTAATTTTCTGTATAGAAAATTTTCTGTTGTATCCCCAAAAATCATTTCGATATATCGAATATACCGAACTCGTTCAATATAACTTATTAATTCGGCATCATTTCTGATCATTTGTGTGTCGCTTACAGCAAGACTATTAAGGAGGTTAAGCAATATAATAACAACCATAAATATAAATATAACAAATATTAATCTGCCAATGATTGGAGATGTTTTAAAATTTATATTACTAGCGTCAAGCTCTCCAGTTAGCATCACGACAGTTTTAAACAGCGACATTCCTGGATTTGCAAAAGAGTCATTATTGTTTTCTTCTGTATTGTTTGCAGATGGTTGTTGGTGTTCTTTGGTGAAAATGATGTAAAAACTAAGAGGAAATGCAAGAATCAATAAAAAATAGCAAAGAAGAAACTTAAAAAAATTGTAGGAGACTGTTCGTAGTATTACGAGGTTTGTAGATAAACTTGGATGCTGACCTATCATAAGAATTAACTTTAAGCCGGCTAGAAGCATTGCCATAGATGAAAATGCTTTTTTGGTGTTAATACTAAATATATTTGGCAGAATCAAAACAACTAACCCAATCACTAAAAGTGCTATCCAATTTTCAACGTTTGTAAAATACTTAGGTGGTGAAAAATACTGAAAGGTTTCTCTTAATATTAACATGGGACATGTAATTAATAATATCCACCATAGTGCGTTGGAGTCAAAAAGCACATGAAAGACTAAAAATGCACAACAAGTTAAATAAAAAGCAAGATTCATCCAAAATATCCATTGCGTTCTATGCCATTTCATATACAAAAAACTCACTATCACAGGGTGTTTAAGCAGATGCTTGACCTCTGGTAGTTCACTAATGTAGAATACAAGGTCTGTTTCATAAACAGTATTAGTCTCTTTACTGTTACTGGTAGCTTTTGTAGTTGTGTCACCGTTATTAGGTACGTTTTGGGTACCTCTCTCGGTGTCATTATTAGTCGCCACTGATGCTGATGATTGAATATTGCTCTCGTTACTGTTATTAGGGTTAAATAAACGGCTAACCTTTGTAGTTGTGTCACCGTTATTAGGTACGTTTTGGCTACCTCTTTCGATCTCATTATTCTCACCATGAACACTTTCAACCAAAACGGCTTTTAATTGTTCGGAGTCCAAGTTACTGTTATTAGGGTTAAGTAAACAGGTAGACTCTGTAGTTGTTTCACCGTTCTTAGGAAACTCGTCAGTATTATTCGCCCCTGCTGTTGACGATTGATCAATGACGATCTTAGTCCCCTTGACATACTTGACCTCTGGTAGTTCACTAATGTCGAATACAAGGTCTGTTTCATAAACAGTATTACTCTCTTTACTGTTACTGGTAGCCTTTGTAGTTGTGTCACCGTTATTAGGTACGTTTTGGGTACCTCCCTCGGTCTCATTATTCTCACCTTGAACACTTTCAACCAAAACGGCTTTTAATTGTTCGGAGTCCAAGTTACTGTTATTAGGGTTAAGTAAACAGGTAGACTCTGTAGTTGTTTCACCGTTCTTAGGAAGCACGTTGTCAGTATTATTCGCCCCTGCTTTTGACGATTGATCAATGACGATCTTAGTCCCCACTTTTTTCGGAATGCACGGAAGTAATGCACGGAAATTAATAGATACTTCAAATTCATCAGCGTTCCTTTTAAATGAATCACCTTGAACATAGTTATCCAAAACGGCTTGTAATTTTTCGTAATCCAAGTATTGAACAGGCATAAATCCAAATCGATTTTTACAGACTAAAGAAGCACCTATATCTAAAAGATTTGTGATAGTAGCTGTGTCAGCATACCGCGCAGCGTAATGTAGTGGAGTATATCCAGTCACTTCATTTCCTTCATTTAAATCGTAAATGTTTTTATTAGCTTTTATTTTCTTTAGCAATAGATCACAGCTTGACTTATATTTATCTTCTGTGTCATCATAATGTTGTAATAATCTTGGTAAGAATTTTGAAATGATATATGGTGGAATTTGTTCCTCGTTTTTATATTCTTTAATGAGAATTTCAAATATTTCATGGAAGTCATGTTTAGCTGAAATTTCTAAAGGTGTCTCTTTTTTATTACTTGTGGTGAGGTTTTTGTCTGCATTTTTCTCGATTAAACACTTCACTATGCGTTTAGTACCATTTTTACATGCAAATTGTAAAAGAGTCATCTCCCCATTATCACTATCAACATAGTTGGAAATAATTGCGCCTTTACAATTTAGAAACTTATCCTCTTCTTTGTTTTTCACAAGATTAAACAAAAAATCCTTTTGGTCAGTTTCTTCTAGCCGGTCATCTACCGTTTCATTTGGGCTAATTTGATATATACGTGTTTTTATTGAAGGTATAATCTCCTGCGAATTTCCTGCTAAGACTTCATCTAAATTAAATCTCCTGTTTTTTAGTTCGTCTATAATAACTTTTAATACATAATCGTCGGCTGTTACGGCAGCATAATGAAACGGTTCCCAATTATCTACATCTCGACATCGTATATCCGCTCCCAATTCTATTAAACACTTGACTGTCTCTGCTTTTACTTCTCCCACACATGCAATTGATAGTATATCAACAGAATAATTATATTCTGGATTAGAATATCTACATTTTAAAAGCTTCGCGTTGAATAAAGTCTTCAAATAATTTGTTTTATTGTTTAGAACGTAATATAAAAGTACTTCCTCGGGAGTGGGGCAAATGCTCTGATTTTTTTTGGACTTGATTTTTCTGAAACAAAACATAATATATATAATCAATTTAATCTAAATACACATATATTTTTTTCGTCCCAATTTTAATGATAAATACAAACAAGCCTTAAGAGTTTAAGCCAGAATTGCACTTGTTTTGACCCTCGATTAATTTACCGTGAGATATAGTTGCTATAAAATATTATAATATTAAAGAAATTGTAAATATAAACTTTAAACAATATAATTAAGATAATACCCTAGAATTAAGATAAAACTTATAAGCAATTTGCGAACATATCAATCATGTAATAAACCTTTAAGACGAAAAAATAAAAAAAAATGGAAGAAAAAGAAAAAAAAAAGACAAAAAAAAACAAATAAATAAATAAAAAATATGCAATACAAAATTATTATAAAAAAGACCAAAACAAAATAAAAAATATATATACATATGACATACAATATCAAAAAAGTAATACAAGGAAATAACAAAAATAAAATGAAAAAAAAAATAAAAAAAAATAAAAATAAAAAAAATCACAAACAAACAAAAACAGAACACTCAAAACAAGTCAATTATTGAATTTACTTCTAACTTACATTTAGTACTAACTCGAACTCTGATTGTTGTTCTGTGAATACAAATTACAAAACAGTCTGGTCAATTGGCTATGCCAAGGCCATTAAAAAAAAAAAAGAAATAATGTACGACGACAATTTCCATAGAACTATTTATTGCTTACTACACGTGTTTAGAGAGCTTATTTTCGCTGGCCAATAACTACAAAAATACATTAAAGCTACAAAAATGCATAACAAAAGTCCCTAGTGAAGAGGAGGTTGTTTCTAAAACCTATATAAAATTTTACCTCGGGGGAAAAACGTAAATTACACAAAATCGTTCATATTGTCCTTCTCAGTAACACATAAACAGGTAGCGAACGATAACTGAATTACATTTAGCATAAACATACTAAAATTGTATGTGTAAATTGTTATTATCGCTTTTAGTCAGTGAAATACGAGGTTATCAATTTTAGTCCACTTTCGTCATCGCTTTCTCCAGATTGTTCGACAACAACTACTGTTAATTGTTGATAAAACAACCTGGATTCTGGTTTCTCGAGAAATGCAGTTAGATCTTGCAGATCTTTCCATTTAGATTTTTTAATAGGAATTGCGTCTTGATAAAGTTTTCGTAATGTTCCTACTCCTTTTTTATTGTGATTATTTTGTGTCCTTTTGCGGCACGCCTTAATTGGTTTATTTTCGAATTTAGAATTATAATAAAAACCCATATACGTAGATTTATGGAAAATTAACCGGTTATCCTTGCTGCAAAATTTAAGCATTCTGGTTGGTCGAGTTGAGAAAGAGCACTTCGTTGGATATAGCGGCGATAAAAATGAAGTCAAATTTTGAAAATCAAAATTTTTACTGCAATCAGTCACTTCAAATGGTGTAGGTTTCAAACGGCAATTTCGCAATTCGTCTCTCCAGTCCTCTGGTACCTCAGTGTATGCTTTCTGATTGACAAGGCTCATGTTTCGATCGCATTCAAGATATGAATGCCCTCTAATAGGGAATATTACTTTCACAATATCAAAACGATTTTTTCTTGTAACTAAGTAATGCAAGAATCGAATGATAGTAAAATTTTTATTTTGTCCTGCACAGGAATCACAAAAAATAGCTAGTTCTTTTACTTCCATGGGCAGAATATTATAAAAAAAAGTGATTCAGCATGGAACAAACATCGTCAGCTCCTTTCTTAGCAACAGATTTATCGTAGGTATAAAATACAGATTTTGAATCCGACAGAATATGAATGTTGAAACTGATGAAGTTTAGTTGACGTTTATAGTATACGTCGTTGGTTGTAATATTTGGACATGGTAAGTTTTTTTGATGATCCATGCTTATACCTCCCATAGTCGAGGACTTTGAAGCACGTTTGCGGTAACTTCTTTTTAGACTATAAAATCGCTCACTTTTTTTTTATATGTAGATTCCTTTCACGTGTCTTTTTTTGTATATCATTACTTGCTGTTTTCCTAGTTTCAAGGTCCGAAGTAGAATTTAATAATGTAGTTATGGATTATATGTCGGATTTTAAGGAGTCACACGTGCTACAAGTGTCTTTTCGTGGATATCCGAACGATATATTAAAATTTGACTCAAAAATGTCACGGAAGGATTCGTAGGATATTTTATTGTCAACGTTTGTTTCGGAATACATTTTATGTAATTTCACTATGTTTAAGTTTTCAGGTAAGTAAATTTTATTCAAGTCTGCTAAAGAATAATGAGATTTGCGTCCCTTTAGACTTTTAATGTACTCCATCACCTTTTGCTTTGTGACTTCAGAAAGTTTGTGAGGTCGCGAATTATGTTTTCCTCGCATATCGATAGGTGCTTTCCCATTAAAAAGCAGGGAGTCTCTAAACCATCCTCAATTCCATCCTCAACTATTCGAACACGATAACTAAAGTAAGCACTATTAAGTCTAGATTCTTCAGCGTTTTTTCTAGGTCGCCTGCGGTTGACAGGAAGAACACTGATTAGACCACTAATGTAAGAGTTTTGTGCATCAGTGTTACCTAATTTATTAAATTCACGAATTATTCTATACCGTTCAGGTTCAAGAACCACAGTAAAACATTTAAAACGTTTACAAAAACAGTCGGGTCCCAATTCATGCGTTGTGGCACGTAAAATTTTCATTATATCTCGCCCTCTGCCAGTTCTTTTACGTTTCTTCGTTTCCCTGCTTGATAGACCAGTTTCACTTTCACTGGACACTGAATAGTTACTATCTATGATAATTCTTGTGTTTTTAAAAACTTTTACACTACAGAAATATGTACAACATATTAATATACAACAGATGCACGTGGCTATGAGTGGTAAACTAACGGCTGATGCAACAATTGACTTACCGACACCAACTGATAACAGGGACTGATGCCCTTTTTCCATACACGCGCACGGACTCATGCCATTCTTCCCCCGTATAGTAAATCTTATAATGGTTATTTTAAGGATCTACGCTGTTTTTACAGATTAACCCTTATCACTACTTGAAAGTAACCTAACAGTACCACAAAAATCAATGGTGACCACAAAAGGAGAGCACAAACTTTGGCTACAAATAGTGCTAGAGTTTTTCATGTAGTGAGGAAGGCTATCATAAAAAATATGTACATCTCTTGGCAAGACAGATTTAATCTCTTGTAGATTATTGAACTTCCTTGATTGAATAGGAATTTTTGTTTTGTGTAAAAGTTTCAATGTAACATCAGCTGCTGATTTTTTAATCCTGCACGGAAGATCCGAAAAATCATCTGAAAAGTTTAATTTATACTTCACCCCACCATCTGGCTTATATTGAATGCATCTCAAATCAGTTACCACGGTATCTTCTTTTTTATTTTTAGGTCCGATCGAGGATATAAAATTTAAGTTACTGTACATTTTAAAAAAAACTGGTGATCCAGGTAGTGAACTTTGTAGGAACTGGGTTTGAATCTTGCTGTACGCCATACTTCCACATATCCATCAGGAGAGTATATTTCTCTATGTCTTAATTTCCTTTCAATAACACTGTGAATCGAATCGCACTCCATTTTTATGTGCCCCTTTTCTAACTATTTTTGAGTTATAGTCAATCCAGTTTCTTGTGGTGAAACAAGGCATAGTGCATTGGATAGAATGCAGTTTCTATTCTGGTATGTGCATCCGTCACTGTACAAAATTACGTTGTCATATTTGGAGCTATTAATTTCAGTGGTTATGAAATGTAAAATAATAGATGTAAACTCGTCAACAGTTACTCCTCCCTCGGATTCGTCCCAGAGATAACAAGATGTGTTAGTTAGCTTTAAGGTTATCTTCTTCTTAACGTGCCCTATCAAGTCCCCTTGACGTTGGAGATTAACATGGCGAAACTGTCTCTGTCTCTAGCTATTCTAAAGAGTTGCTTAGCTTTCTTTATTCCTGTCCCCTCCCTGATATTCTTCATCCAAGAGGCCTGCTTTCTACCAATTCCTCTGCGTCCTTCGATTTTACCCATCATAATAAGTTGAAGAATATTATATCGGTCTCCCCTTACTACGTGTCCAAAATAGGCCATCTTTTTACATTTGATGTTATCAAGCAGCTCGCGAGCAGCATTTGCTCTCTCAAGGACTGCCACATTTGTCAGCATAGCCTTCCATGGAATTTTTAGTATACGTCTGTACAGCCATATTTTAAAGGTCTCTAGACGATTAATGGTGGATATGTTTAATGTCCATACTTCGACACCGTATAAGAGGACTGACCAAATGTAAGATTTAACCATGCGTTTTCGAAGTTGAAGTTACAAGTTATCATTACAGAAGAATGACCCCATTTTTAAAAATGTCGTGCGGGCTATCTCGATTCTACATTTTATCTCTTGATCTTTATCTAGTTGTTCAGTAATATGGCAACCAAGATATGTAAAACTGGACACTCTTTGAATTATATGACCATCAACATATAATCGTGCATCTTGATGTGCTAAACGGCTAAACACCATGTGTTTTGTTTTTGAACAGTTTATGTTTAGGCCAAACTCTCTTCCCACTGTATCAATGGCATTTAAAACGGCATTGTAATCCATTCATGTCATCACTTAAAACAACTGTATCGTCTGCATATCTGATTGTATTTATCAGAATTCCATTAACTTTCACGCCCCATTCCAAGTTATGCAACGCTTCTTAAAATATTTTATCTGAATATAAATTAAATAACAGTGGGGATAGTATACAACCCTGTCTCACACCTCTTTGTATTTTACATATTTCTGTTGATTTTCCGTTTATGCAAGCTGTCGCTGTTTGACGCCAGTATAACTTTTCTATGAATCGTATGTCTTGACTATCAACTCCTTTATCTTTTAATAGTTTAATAGAAAATCGTCAGGTATCGAAAGTCTATTAAAGCTATAGCTTTGTTTCTATGTAGAACTATGTCTTACTGTTATTTCACTGAAATTGTTGGTTTGGTGGCCATGTGTTGATGCGTCCCTATAAGCGAGGCACTAATCTGACTTTCTTCTCCAATATTCAGTACCTAATAATTCAGTCTCCGTCCGTATATAAAAGGCCCACTCGGTCACCCGACTTAGCTCCTCTAGATTTTTGTTTATGAGGGATGGTAAAAACGAAATTGGCATGAGTTCGACCGAGGCATCAACTTGGAGGAACCGAAAGAAAAGATAATCCAACTTAGCCAAAAAATATTAGCAAAAGAATTCAACGCCATGAGAAATGCGTTGTATAATAGATTTGGTTAGTGTTCGTTACAATTTGGTGGTCTGTTTGAACATTTAGTTATCTAAGAATTTTATTTGGCGTAGAATTTCTAATCGTTTGGAATTAATTTTAATTTAAACAGTAGTGTTGGAATTATTTTTATTTGATTTCATTTTTATAGAACAAATTTTTTACTTTCATACTAATTTTATTTTATTTTTTGTTTTATTTTTATAGAACTAATTTTTATTGTCACAACTTCGACCTCCAAAAACTCTAAACTAAAATATGATTTCAAAGATATTTGTAAAATACCAAATAATATCTTATTTTTAATTAAAAAACTTAATGTTTTGTTCAGTTTAAATTTAATATAATACGCCTACTCCTTCCTAATGCTTTACTAGTACTGTCTTTATTTAGTATGCTTTATGAAAGTCCAACCCACGAACCCATGCAATATTCTTAGCATACCATTGTAGTTCTGCTCAGCTCGTTACCACAGTATTAAAATCAAAGTGTCGTTACTTTGACGATGCGACGTTACCAAATAATTCTGTATGAAGTTTTTTATTGGGCGTCATACTGCAATTTATTATTTATTGGGAATAAGGCACAATGTGACTTTAAAATAAGCTTATTTTGATGTTTAGATTTCCAATTCAAAAATCATACTTAAAATACGAAATATTAATAAATTTTATTTATATAAAACGATTTCCGAACTGGAAATCAAAATGTTAAACTAAACTTATTTTAAAGTAAATTGTGTTAGAATCCCAATAAAAAACAGTAAGCTGTAATTTTATTATCTTAGAACATTGTTCAAATGCTAAAAAGTCAACAGGTCAAATAAACCCCATAACTTTGGCAACGTTAAACTTCCCCTCGTCTGTTGAATTTATTATTTCTACTAATGCATTTTCGACGATATAAAGGGCAGACCTAATATACCTCTCTCTTTTTAAACATGTGTTTCTCACTCCATCTCGCGTAAGGTCCATGCTGACGATAAATTATTAACCAGGATGTATATATATATATATATGATTTCAGTTGTTTTCCGGGTTTGACTCCGCGTTAAGTAATTTTGGTTTTTAGAAAAACCATTGTTTTGACGACGTTTCGGCAAGGTCACACTTGCCATTGTCAAGTCAGATTAGTTCTGCTTCGTCTTGATGTTTCAGGAGAACTTCTCCTGAAGACATCTGAGAAGTTCTCCTGAAACATCAAGACGAAGCAGAACTAATCTGACTTGACAA